TTCAGAAAGAAGGGTTATTGGATTGGTGAATATGAGACATTACTTTCCTAGATATACTGGAAATTACCCTTACGATGCTGGCCAGTAATTTTGTTCATTGTGTAAGTTGGTTCATCCAACATTATGTTAACAAAATGAATAGACTTCCAATACTTTTACTGCTATTCTTCAAGGTTTCTGGAAGGTGCTTAAGTGATTGGTTCCATGATTTGACTTACAGAAAAATCTCTATAATTAATTATCCTGTAAAAATTTTCTTAAAAGGAACATACAATAAATCAGTGGTGTGGACTTCCTCTTAATACTGATCATCTGTAACACAAATTGGTTTAATTGTCCACCAACTTTCAATAGATTATGACAATCATATTTCAATAATATGCATGTGAAGTGTTTTTGTTTTACAGGTATGAACTTTTGATTGGAGGAGGGTGGGGCTCATGGAGCTTCATATATGGTTAATCCTTATCCCAATCCTTAGACCTAACATTTCCTCGGTGGGCTCCCCTTTTTTCAAAATCTTGGATCTGCATCTCATGACAATATAATGAAAGGGATGGATTTATAATTGAAATACTGTACAGCATTATTAAATTGATATTCTTATTTGATACTGTTCAAGGAATGTATGTGTTTGTCAAGAAAATAAAAACTCTATAGAAGTTTTTTTTACATTATTTCAAATAAAATTAGATGAATAAGAAGTTATTTGCTGATAGCACTTTTTCTTTTGTGGGAATTGTATAGAGAATTGTCTAATTTCATCTAAATATGTGTTACCAAGTACATATGTTGCACATGGCAAGGGAATTCAAAGCATAAATGATAGATCTCTACATATTATTTTGTTTGATTCAGACCAGTGTTTTAATTTTATCAATGAATAGGATATACATTTCTGTTGTTCAAGACCAGATGTTGCTGAAAATATTTCATATGATATTTCAGTGTAATTAAACATTGTTATTGACTGTTTAAGTGTAGAATATTGTTTGTAAAATATGTCACAAAAATTTCAAAAGAATGATATAATTCAAATCAGATTGGTTATTGAGTAAATTTTGGAGATGAGGCAAACTGAAATGAGCATTTTTTTTTTTTTTTGACAAAGGTAAAAATTAGATATTTCACGAAAATTCACAAATATTGACAATATTGACAAATAAGATTTAATACTTAATTACACCTTATGTAACAATCCTGGGTTTTGATTGGTTGATAGCCAGTGTATTTTTCACCAATTTACTGTTATCAAATGAATATCGTTCATTTTTTAACGCCGCCGGGGTATATGCAAAAAAGATATGCCTTTTTTACCCTCTCTGCCGTGGTATTTGCCAAAAAATACTCTATCCGACTGGACGCTTGTAACGTCACGATCATCAATGCGTTTTTGAACGTTAACATTCGGTGTAATTAAACAGATATAGCATGTTCTTGAGGGGTATTTGTGAAAAATACCAGTCTTGAGAATGAATTTCCCTCGCCTTACGGCTCGCGAAATTTAACATTCTCTCGACTGGTATTTTTCGCAAATACCCCTCATTAACATGATATATCTGTTCAAAACCTCCTACTCGAGAGAAGGTTTACTGGTATATATATATATATCTGTTTTTTTCATTCATCCATTTTTCAAAGCACTTAGTGAGATCACCCCCAGTTTCTGTCAGGCTTCATGTTGCTCAGTGTTTTAAAGTTTTCTATGTTTTGTTTTATGTACTGTTATTTGTCATTTTTATTTTGGTCTTTTTTCTTTTTTTGCCATGGCGTTGTCAGTTTATTTTCAACTTATGAGTTTGAATGTCCCTTTGGTACCTTTCGCCTCTCTTTTAATCAGTCTTTTCTTTCTTTATATTTTTCTGTCAGAGTTGTCCCAGAAATGAAAACAAAATTATGCCTGCCATGAAGTATTTCCATTCAAATAGGACAAATGGGTTAATTTTGTCAACCGTGAAAGCCCTATACAAGCAATACTCTTTTACCTGTTCTGTTTATCTCCCCCACCCCCATATAATAATCTTAACTATATTATAAAATTCAATAAAAAATTTTAAAAACTCACATTTTTCACTTAAAAATGCTCTTTTTATCTTATTTTATTATATTCTAAGGCGTACAAGAAGCCTGAAAACCCTTGGTGTTTACATTTGAATAACATGACGTCACCTTGTTTAGTTGACAAAGACGATAACATCATTTCGCTGAGTTTTCGTTTTATGAAATTTTACACCGAAATAATAACTGAAATGGACTGATTTGTTTATTTTGCATTAGAATAGAGATAACAGTATTGTATTTGAAGCTTGGCCTACATAAAACTTTACTATGGTAAACTGAATTTACCTGGTCGTATTACTAATAAGGTGGGCATAACACGGAACAGCCAATTTTGTGCATTAACGCATTTACTCTAAAAGTAGATATAATATGATTATACTGGTTGACGATACTTAGGTCGTCATATTGAAATACCGGTATAACTTAATATAAGTACAAGTGTAAAAAGTCAATTTCCTTCACTTTTCTGAAAGTTATCTTTTTAAGTTTTATTTAGTCATATTTTTATACTGTTTACACTCATACTTTTATTAGTTCTATGCATTTAACATTCTCTTCTTGTAGTAAACAACTATACAGTTGTTAACACTTACCATGCTGAATTGTTTTCAGAAAAAGTCTAATTTTTTTAACCAGTTTTATCCAATTTCAATTTTCCAAGTTCGTATTTGAGCTCAAAATGCTACTTAAACATGAGAAACATGACAATAGATAGCCTCAGGTTAAGGGAACATGCATCCATTTCGAAATAAGTATCATAAAGTTGACCTCTAAAAGTATGGAGAGCCATTACAGCCAAATAACGGTGGTCTGGGTCATCCCGTCATATGACGGGCTCAGCATGGTAAGGGTTAATCACGGATGTTTTGGATCTGTGTTCTAATGAAATCAACAGCATCGTTTATATTTTTTCCCTCATCTGTCTAAAGCAAGGGCTTTATTGCATCCCTGATTACTTTATTGAACAGAAAATGATTAACTTGTACAAGGTAATAGGTCTTATTTGTTCATTCAAATTGATATTATGTCCTATGAATATACTTGTAGATTTGATGTCACTTTGTAAATGACAGATGGCAAGCAGTTTTAACGTAAATCTTTGGATTTTATATTTTGTTGCAGTTTTAATTTTCTTGCCTAATGGTGGATTGATCATTTTTCAAAGTACCTCTAAATGACAATAAGTATTCTCTTGTGCATAAGGTGCACAGTTTTCAAGTCAGAAATTGTTATGCATCATAAAAAATAGTTCTGTCAATTCAATCTATATATATATATATATATACATGGTGTCTTTGAGTGTGCTATTATTGAAAACATTTTTTGGGTTTGGATATCATAGTTCCCTTTCTTTTAGTTCATTATCAATTCATGCTTTTCCTGGCTTGTTGATGAGTTTTAGATAGCAAACCGCTCCTTGTTTTTTAAGTTCTTCATTGGTCAAAATTCAATTATGGCTTCATATTTTCTCGTCTTCCTCTGATTTTGCTTTTGTGACATCAAGAAAAAAGGAAACCATACTGTATAAATGTCTTAACATAAAGAACACATTTTTTAATATTATTAAAAAAGAGGAATTTTTGGTGACATAATCATGTAATAATCATTAGAGAAACCAATCTCATGTAAAACAACATTTCTCCATTCTCATCCTTTACATTTAGATATTGAAAAGTAAAACAATTAATTGTCTTGAGTTTAGAAATATTGTATCACACTTGATGCATTGGTAGACTCTATATAAATGAAATTGGAGGGGGGCCGAAAAAAGCTCATTTTCTGATGTTATTAAATCTCTTGAGATAACAGTTCTGACTTTAAAAATATAACATACATTAGTATAACTGTAGAAATGACTATTAGAACTTTTTACATAGACTATACCATAAATTTGGGTAATCTGTGTTATATCTTTGATATATATGAGAACAAAGTAACATTAAGTTCTGTTTTCATATTCAAACAATATTTATAAAGAAACATATGTTTTGTTCTATTCCTGGATGTCACTTGTTTGTCTTTAAGAATGTTGATACTTCTAAAAGAAATGTGGTTTTGATGTATTTATTGACTGCATGAACTTTTGATATTACATAGGTTTTCTGGTTGAGATAAGTTAAGTACAGATTTAATCAAAACTATATACTTCTTATCAACAAACATTTGTCAATATCAAGTCAACCTTGTTATCAGTTATGATATATAAATACTAATTTACAGAATATAAATATTATATTAATACATTTATACCAACACATGTATCATATATCTATGAGATTGTTTTAAGATACTGTACAGAATAACCATGTGGTTGGATTTTATTAATCTGTAACATTTCTGTTATTTCTTGTAATAAAAAGCTTATAGGAAAGATATTCTAAAAACATGTTAAAACCTTACTCAAACCATGATAATTTTATATACACAATAGGAGGGGGCATTCTGTTTTCAGGTCTGTGAATTCATCTGCTCATCCATCTGTTAGTCTGTCCGTTTGCCTGTTCTGTATCTGGTAAAAGTTTGGTTTAGGAGAGTTTACCATGAAGTTGTGATCACATTAACTTGAAACTAATAAAAAATAATAATGTTCATTATGATGTGAACTTTTTTTAAATATATACATGTACCAAATTAGGGATTTGACCAAGATTGAGCAGTTCACTTATCAGAATCAAGTTTTTGTTGAGAATTTATTGTTACATGAACTTGAAACTTAAAACACATGGTCATTATGATTTGAACTCTTTGAAATATATTCCAAATTAGTGTTTTGATTTGAGATTTTCACATATCACGGAACATAGAATATCAATCAGACACATATATTTGTTTTCCATTTTATGAAGGTTGATTTGGCTTTATAAGCTTGCAGAGAATGCTGTGTTTCCTAAAGATAACAGCTTTTTACTGATCACTTGTGCATAAAACTATTTTGATAGGTTTAAGAAAAAGATCTTGAAGTTAGTCTGAAACCGTAGCATTTGATTGGAAGAATGAAGGAAGAAAAAATAATGAAAGGCTGAAGAAACATGCAGGATGAAGAGAGAGCATGGGTAATTCATAAATGTTCAAGCTCAATCTTGATGATTATATATTATATAATGATATTTTATTTGGAATGAACTGTTTTTGGGCTTCTGTTTTTTTGTAACATTAACAGATTTCAATTAATACTGCTATGTATACCTTTCTAACTCATTCACATTCTTAGAGTTCTTTTTCAAAGCCCAAAATTGCTCTTAAGCATGTTTAAGGGCGTATGATACAGTTACAGGGGAAGTAATGATGTTGCTAACGTAAAATGTTATTTTTTCGCGACATCAAACTGTGACATATCGAGAAAAGATGCATTTTTCAAGTGATCTAAATTTTCTCATTTATTTTTGGGGAATTGTTTATGTATTGGTGTTTTAGCTTTTTCAATTAAAGTCTTGTGATAATATGTCATTCTTATTTGCCTGCTATCTTATTACGTCCTTGTGATGGATTGAATACTGAAATGTTTTCATTGTTTATTGCAGAGATGTATCCCTATATTTTGTGATGACCTTCTTACAAATCCTGTAGTTTCTTACGGATCACCATAACATTAGTCAGTCCATAGCCTTAACTTTAAAGTCCTTGATGACCTTAAACTAGCAGGTAAACTTTCAGAGTTTTGGCAAAACAGATATCACAACTTGTTACATAGTTTAGAGCCAATAAATACCCAATTGCACAAACCAGATTCCAAACCTTCAAAAGACCTCAAAATAAAACTCAGCTGTATTACAGGGAATAAATGGGCAATAATTTTATGGTTTACAAGCTTGCAAAAAGAATTGATGATAGTTTGGAATGTGAAACAGGAGTATTTACAACTTCATATATTTATGTTTTATATTTAAGTTTCAGTGCATCTATCTTTTCTTAATATCCCTTTCAATATACAAGAACATTTTCTGTATCAAGGTGATGTTGGACATATAAGATCTTTGCAAATTGAACAAAACATCAGCAATATGGTTTAACCAGCTGTTAATTGTCTATTTAATCATCAAAATTTACTTCATTATGGAAAAGAACTTTTTTTCAATGATGAAGGTGTAAAAATATTTCTTAGATCACAAAAAATGAATATGGAAACATGCTCTTGAAAGATGCAACCTTTGTAGTGAAACAGAAAAGTGGTGCTTTGATACTGAAGTACTCTATTCAAAAATATGACAGCATATAATCATATATCAAGGGCTCTTGTGCTATGGAATATTATTTTCAATTAAACATTAAATATAAATAAAACTGAGGAATTTTTATAGTACTCTATATGTCTGGAATTTTATTATTTTGCATCAAGTGCCACAAAATTATTAGATTTTAAGCATATTTTTGTTTGAAAGACTTGCCAGTTTAAAATGAAACCAAAATGCTGATAAATAAAATCTGAATATTCATTTAAACTGATATGGTATAAATTTCTTTAAGGACAAGGACATCTTTATACTATTTACAATACAAAAAAAATGTTCGGATTAGATCCCTTGTAAATTTTGTGCAATTAATCATAATTTTAAAGAGATGATTTCAATTTTTCTATTGTAATTTTTCCATTTATATGTGTAACAGTATTCTTGCAGCACATTCAGTTTCCTGTTATTATTTCTTGAAAGAGGGTTGATGTTTATTAGAAAGCTATAACCTTAGGGGTTTCTGTTGGTAAAGTTGAAGTTAGTGTTTTAGTTATCATGAATTTATTGACTGTTTTTGGAATATCTGACCACATATATGTTCCTTTTGTGATACACACAGCCCCATTCTCTTTTCTTTGATAGTAACATCACCAAATGTGACTTATCACCAAATTTATTTGAAATGAGCAACATGACAAGTGCCAGTGGTGGAGCAGGAACTGCATACATTTCACTTCAGTTCACTCCCAATTTTTGGTTGAAATCTTTAGTATTGTTAGTGTTTGGTGGCTAATATAAGTGTATTTCTTTTTATCATGTAGTTGTCTGTTTTTCTTCAACTTATGGCTTTTGATTACCCCCTTATGAATCGTGTCCACCTTTTTACAAAGAATTTAAATGATACTATCATACTACAATTTCTTTTTTCTTATTAAACAGTACTAGAACAGACTGTTCAACAGTAATTTCATTTCTGGAAATATTTTGGCAAAAATCATGATTTCCTCCGAACTGTCCACCTGGGATTTCAGTAAAAATGAGTATGTGAATTGCTATTTGTGGATAAAAAATGAGCATGTGAATGCGAATACATATGTTCAAACTCTTTTAGGTCATTTTTTAGTAGCAACAAAACGAAAGAACTATGTCAATTGGACATGCTTTGATACTATATCTGCCCTTGAATTTTTACTTGATAACATTTTTGTTCGCTTTGGAGATTCTGTATATCGTCAAGTTATCGGAATTCCAATGGGGACTAACTGTGCACCACTTATTGCAGACCGGTTTTTGTATTGTTATGAGTTACAATTTATGACTAAAATCAGCAAAGACCCATCGAAACAACATCTGATACAAAAATTTAACAATACTTTTAGATATTTGGATGATATATTGGCTCTCAATAATGACGACTTCAGTATGTATACTAAAGAAATTTATCCTGTTGAACTTACTTTAAATAAAGCTAATACTAACAATGACCACTGTCCTTTCCTCGATCTTGATATCTATATCATTAACAGGAAGCTTAATACAAAAATTTATGATAAAAGAGATGATTTTTCATTTCCTATCGTTAATTATCCATTTTTAGATGGTGACAATCCCTTGTCACCATCTTATGGTGTTTATATATCTCAACTTGTACGATTCGCTCGTGTATGTAACAACGTATTAGATTTTAGCGAGAGAAATTTATGTATTACTGAAAAATTATTACACCAGGGTTTTCGATATCATAAACTAGTCAAAACATTTACTAAATTTTATCATCGGTATAAGGACATCATTCGTAAATATAACTCAACATGCAGACATCTTATACGCTCGGGTATTTCACATCCAATCTTTTATGGTAATATTCTTTACAAAGCACAAAAATGTCAGTATTCACCTCAAAAGCTAACAAAACCTTTAAACAGACTTATTAAGAAGGGATATAGTTACCATACTGTTGTCAGGTCATTAAATATTGCATATTTTGGCTTTAATATTGATTCACTTATAGGGTCTTTGCATTGGAATTAAACACATTTATTCTAAAACCAGTTGTTGGCATGACACGGGTTATGTTCTTCTCATACATTTTATGACGGTATAATACTAAACCCCTAACAGGAGGGATTGTGCCTGATATTCATATGATGAAGACATAATCTTTCAATCAGTTTAATTGAGGTCTGGAGCTGGCATATCAGTAACTGCTAGTAGTCTGTTGTTATTTATGTATTATTGTCGTTTTGTTTATTTTCTTTTGTTTCCTATTCTGACAACGGACTCAGACTTCTCTTATACTGAGTTTTACTGTGCGTACTGTTGTGTGTTTGTTTTTTCTACATTGGCTAGAGGTATAGGGGGAGGGTTGAGATCTCAAAAAACATGTTTAACCCCGCCGTATTTTTGTGCCTGTCCCAAGTCAGGAGCCTCTGGCCTTTGTTAGTCTTGTATCATTTTTAATTTTTGTTTCCTGTGTATAATTTGGAGTTTAGTATGACGTCCATTATCACTGAACTAGTATACATATTTGTTTAGGGGCCAACTGAAGGACGCCTCCGGGTTCGGGAGTTTCTCGCTGCATTGAAGACTCATTGGTGGCCTTCGGCTGTTGTCTGCTCTATGGTCGTTTGTTGTCTCTTTGACACATTCCCCATTTCCATTCTCAATTTTACTTATTGTGGATAAAAAATGAGCATTTGAATTGCTTATTGTGGATAAAAAATGAGCATGCAAATTGATAATTGTGGATAAAAAATGAGCATGTGAATTGCTTTTTGTGGATAAAAAATGAGCATGTGAATTGCTATTTGTGGATAAAAAATGAGCATTTGAATTGCTTATTGTGGATAAAAAATGAGTATGCAAATTGATAATTGTGGATAAAAAATGAGCATGTGAATTGCTAAATGTGGATAAAAAATGAGCATGTGAATTGCTTATTAGTCCCCTACCAACGAAGTTGAAGGGGACTTTAGGTTTGCACTCCGTCCGTCTGTCTGTCCGTCTGTCTGTCCTTCTGTCAGTCCGGCAAATCAGTTTTCCACACTTTTTTTCTTCATGCTTGAAGATATTGATTTGATATTTGGTATATTGTTTTATCATGACAAGTAACAGATCAAGTTCGAATTTTGTTCCGGTCTGATAATTTTGTGCAGAGTTATGGTCCTAGGACTTGGAAAATTCACTCAAATATTCAGTTTTCCGCACTTTTTTTCGTCATTCTTGTCCGCACTTTTTTTCGTCATTCTTGAAGATATTGATTTAATAATTGGTACATTGTTTTATCATGACAAGTTACAGATCAAGTTAGAATTTTGTTCCCGTCTGATTATTTTGTGCAGAGTTATGGTCCTTGGACTTAGAAAATTAACTCAAATAATCAGTTTTCTGCACTTTTTTTCGTCATGCTTGAAGATATTGATTTGATAATTGGTATATAGTTTTATCATGACAAGTTACAGACCAAGTTTGAATTTTGTTTCGGTTTGATGATTTTATGCAGAGTAATGGTCCTTGGACTTAGAAAATTCACTTAAATTATCAGTTTTCAGCACTTTTTTCGTCATGCTTGAAGACATTGACTTGATATTTGTTATATAGTTTACAACATGACAAGTTATAATTCAAGTTAGCATTTTGTTCCAGTACAATTAATTTTTAACCGGTAGGGGACTATGTATTGCCATGCAATACTCTCAGAATGCTTGTTGTGGATAAGAAAATGAGCATGTGAATTGTTAATTGTGGATAACGATTAACACTTTTTAGTAAGGTGGCAGAATATTGATAAAACTATTGGTAATTAAGACTGGTAAAATTGTTGAACTGTTTGGGCTTGAACATTTTCTTATTTATTTCTTTAAAAGGCATGTATTACAGATCTGAATGCAGTATGGTACTAGATATTTTATTATTTCAAAGATGTCTTTTAGAATTAAAACCCACACTTACAAACTAAAACACACTTGGGTTTGCTACGAGTTAATGACAATTTCTAGATTATTTTAGCAGTCCAATGAAAACTTCTTCCTGGTTTGTATTATAGAAGACAGTTTTGTCTTCAGATATTTCTATTAACAATGAAGAATATGATCGGATACATACATTGTATTGTCCTGTTTGATAGGTTTCCACATAACAGCATGCTCTCTATAATCTTTGATTGGAGATTATACAACTATAGAAGGAAGTGGTAAATATAAGTTCATTTGTATTATGTTTATATTGGGTTTTTTTGTTTCCTGACTTTTTGTCTTATTCTCCTGAAAAGACTAATGATATGGTTCATTAAGTAAAGTGCAATTAATCCATTAATAAGAGAAGACAAAATTTTCAAAAGCAGAAACAACTTTTTTTTTGTCTTATTTATGGTAACAAAGGGAAATTTAATGACAAACATTGTATGTGTGGTAAGCAGTTTATTAAGTTTAAAACTAATAAGTTCACCGTTTGAAGAACAGAAATTTTCTTTCA